AATATAATGCATTTTTAGTCACTATTCTAATGTTAACTTTCTTATATTTCTTAGCAGCTTATTGCTATGGTCCTAAAAGCCCAGGATTATATGCTAACTATTTACTTCTAGCCACTGTATGCAGAAAAGTCCTGCTATGGTTGTTTGGGTAAAACATCTTAATCTCATTCCTTTATATCGGTCACTCCATATTGTTATATTCTAAGAATGCTCTTCTTTTATTCCGTTCTAATATATGCAACCCTTCCTTCTTAAGAATGCATTATATATGTCAAGTAAAAAAAATATAGGTTGAATAAGGTGGAATCAGAATTTGTTTTGAATGGAGCGAAATTATAACGTAAATTTTTTCTTTGAATTGATAACTATTTATATGACCAAAAAAAAGGTTTACGTAAATTTGAAGGGGAACGAGCATTAGATATATGACTAAAGAATTAGAAATAATGTTTAATTCTAAAGATTTATATAAATTTGAAGGGGGCGAACACCTCCACTAGCCCCTCCCTTACTCTACCACTGAGGTTAAGTATATGAGAAATCTCTCTGTGTATATGTGCATACGCGCGTAGGGAAGCAAGTTAAAACATAAAAAAATTAAGAATTTTTTTGGGTACTCAAGGTGCTGCAAGTGAGCATTGAGCAAAAACAAATGACAAATTACCCAGTTAAGTTTCAAAATTGAGTAACCATGTAATGCTAATATAACTTATGTAGAGAACCAAGAAGAGATTCGTCTTGGGTAAATCAGAGAAAGTCACAGTACTCAAGTAGCTATCAAACGAGCTGGCCTAAGACGATCGAGATGAAAAATTTAATTTTTGAAAAGTTTTAAATTGATAAGAAGATATTTAGAAACATGGGTCAATGAGTAACAAATTAGGAAAATGGTTAATTTGCTAATTGCTTTTCTATTTTTCAAATAAAAATTGTTATGTGTTCTTCGGTGATATATGCTTATAAAATAAAAAAACAAATTAGATTTTAGAATATATATCAAGTAGGGCTAAGTCAAGTTAAAAGAATTTCAAGTTATTTACCAAAAAAAAAATAAAAAAAAAATTCAAGTTTGAATTTTGTTAGTCTAACAAACATATTTCTCATATTATTCAATCTGGCTTTGATTTCAGTTTTTTAAAATAACAACTTTAAAAACAAAAACAAAAACAAAATAGCTTAGTTACCTATTTTTTATTTGATTGTTTTGCAATTTGTTGTCCACAATTTATTTTGAACCAAATGAGGACTATATATATAATTGCGAAAAACTCCATTAATCTATAATTAAAATTTTGGGTTGAAACGTGGTTTCAATCTATTTATTGTGAAATCCTGTTTGGTGGAAATATCCCTTATTATTCCAACATTTCATTCCTTTCTATTTATATGCTGGGACCAGAATTTTTGAGGTCGAAAGCTTTTGCAAACTTTTAAACTAGTATAATACACGTGAGTAAAGTGAGGAGTCCCATATGCTCGAGAAATTGGAAGAGAAATTGGAAGTGGTCGAACAAGTAATAAAGAAGTAAGTAGAGTATCGTTCCTATGAAAATTAGTGTTTCAAATACTAGTTCACTATTCTTTTATTTAAGTTGGACAGATCAAAGTTGTTTTAGGAAGAATAATTTCTAATTAATGGAAAGTCAATTTAAAGAAATCAATTAAAAGAACAAAGGCCAAGCAACAATTGAATGCAAGAAAAGAATTCTAACAATTAAATATGAGTAATAAATATTTTCCAAAAGAAAAAAAAAAGATAAGTAGTAAATCAAGAATGAAAAACGCGGTTAGGGTTTATTTTACCGTTGAACCCTTAAGTGATTTTATTCAGTTCTATAATTTCTATCTCTATTGTTCCAAACAATTTATCATCTAAATGATAATTGGTTAAATCCTTAATGTTTTAATTATTTAATCCTTTAACCTAATTAGAATCTTAATGTCTTAGAAGTTAGAAACCCCTTTTAGGTTAAGCCTTACGCGCAATGAATATCACAAGTTTGCAAATCTTACAAGTGTATGTCTAGAACAAGCAAGAGTTGATGTTTATCCCATCTAGTTGAAGATCTCAATATGTCTATTTAGAACTCTAGCCTTCCTTATTTCTATATGGTTGGCCATATCTTACACAAGAATTTGGAACGAATAATTCAAGATAAACACATAACAATTTGAGATAAAATTTATTGAAAAGAAAATTAAACCAAATAAGGATTTACATTGGATTCATATTCTTAATTATAAAGAAAATTAGCCAAACATATCTTACTTAAATAAAACAAAAAAAGAAACTAGAAAAAATCACAGATTGAATGTTGGTTGATTTCAAAACTTCGATCTTCCTTCCACCCTCTTACGCTATCTGCAAGCGCTCTATTCTCTATTCTCTCTCTCCCTTCGTCAAATAATCCGTCAATGCCTCAATGTTTCCAAAAACTCACCTTTTATAATGATCAGGTAATATCTTTAAAAATCCCGAAAATCATTCTATCGTATCTTTTGATTCGGAATTTAAAAATGCAAAGCACATGGTCATGGAGCTAATAGCGCATGTCTTAGTAATTTTGGCGCTTTTGGCACTATGATATATGCAGCATTGGCGCAAATTGCACTGTCATATAGGAAGACTTAGCGCCATGCTACAAAGGACTTTGAAGCGCCACTCTTGGTGAAATTTTTTTAGCTTCCTTTCGAGTTCAGCTTCAATGGATTAAAATTCCTACGAAATACAAGAATTTTATATGAGAATATTACTCATATTAGAATAGAATGATATTTTAATCACAATTCTTATGTCTTTTGATTATATTCAGGATGTCTTTTGATTATATTCAGATCAATTTCATGCTCAATTTGACATTTAATACCAATTATATAAAAATTGGATTGACGCGACCGGGATCAACCCAAAAACTGGTCCGATTTTCATATTAGACCAGCCATACAGAATCGATGTAACCCGGTACGACCCTACCAGTTTTCACAAAAATCTGTGACCCAAAAAAAATATATTGTTTGTTTTCATCAATTGATATCTTTCTTTTTTTCACTCTCACACACAAATGGTTTGTTTTCTTTTGAAATATTTGAGTGATCTGTAGCTTATTAACTTACATAAATTATGTACCTACAACACAAATATTATCTTGGTTATACAATATGCAGGAAATTTTGATTTGATTTATAGTTAAAGATATCATTTATTGTACCTGAAACACCAGTACCACAAATATTATATGTTTGATTGATCTTTTGTTGGACAATAGTGGTGTTCGCGGTCTAGACTGGATCGGTTTTGGAAGCAAAAATCATCTGATCCAATCCCTTCGGTTTAATCATGTAATCATCTATTCGGTTTGGATTTTTTTCAAATCTGATCCGATCCAATCCAATTTTATTCGGTTTGGATTGGATCGATTTTCGGTTTTTGGAAAAGCCTAAGATTTGTACAATGATTATTGTGCAAATAACATATCTTTTGTATGTATCGGCTTTGTAAAGTTTGTATGATAATTATTGTGCAATCTAGAAGCATTATACAGCAAAAAGATGAATTACCATCTTTTATCTTCAACAGAAAATTTATAATATGGTTGCCTGAGATACAAAGTAAACCAAATTTTCATCTTATAGAGGAGCTATTGTACAACAATAGCCCATGTAATAAAAATGTATTATGTATCTTACCAAAAAAAAAATCATAACATAGATCAAGCACAATCCACTTTCTCCAATATGATGGGTTAATAGATTTTGGATTTAGAATTTTGCTATATGAGTTTTGGCCTATGATTGGGGAAAGGCCCAAGTAGATAGATGGTAAGGTTGGGAAATTATTGGATCGGTTTGGATTGGATCGGTTTTCACTAACCAATCCAAAAATCGATCCAATCCAATTAAATTTTTTGATTTTTTTCAGTTTTCGATTAATTCGATTTTCGGTTTTTCGGTTCGGTCACCGCGGTTTGAATCGGTTGATGAACACCCCTAAACAATGATATATAATTTATTATTTTTAGGGAAATATTTTTCTCATTTCATTGGAGATAATCATCTCATTTTATACACTCGTCGAATTTTGTGCCTTTTTTTCCATTTCTTTTTCCTTTTGTTTTAAAGTGTGCATCCCACATATTTATCTCACACACATGAGATAACTATCTCAAGCAACATGAGATTAGTAACTCCTTTATTTTTAATATTAAAATATTTGAACTTGGTATCATTTTTTATAGGTATTTAAGTATATTTATAGCTATTTTAATATAAATTATAGATTTACGTATACTTACTGGATCATGCAGTTGAACCAATGACCTACTGGTTGAACTAATAACCCAATAACCTTAACGGGTCAATAATCGAGCCAATGAAAGCTCATGAGTTTGTAAACTGTAACCCTGGAAAAAGAAGGACCAATACAAGCCCTTAATGTTATTTTCAAGCCCAATTCCAAAAAGGAAAAATTAACTCGATTTATGCAACTTACATTATTACATTTTTATCTAGTTTGAAACTTATGCGTGAAGACTAGGGGTGGTAATACAGGTCAACCCGACACGCATTCGACACGTACACAATTCGACACGACCCATACACGACACGTTTTGTAAACGGGTCAGAAAATACGAACCCGAACACGACCCGTTGCGGTTCATGGGTCGACACGACCCGACACACAAAATCTGGAATTTAAAAAAATTGTGATTTTTTGAAAAATAAATAAATAAAATTTATTCTTCATCACAAGTTGCTGTTTTTGATTTATTAGTCTAATTTCCTAATGGTCAAAACAAAATAAAAACAAAGTATATTATAACATCATTAGGCGTAAAAGAGAAAAAAAATTGTAACTCCAAGGAGTCCCACTACCTTTGAATCATCAGGCGTTCTGTTTGTATATATCAGGCATGATGGGTTATATTTCATGAATTGTCTTCTACCTAAAAAAACATCAACAACCTTAAATAATCCAAATGAGAATATAACAAATATCATCAACCTCATAATTTCATCCTACCATCATCTATCTAAATATCTCAAGGCTAGTGCAAAGTACAAACTCATCAAAATAAAATTATACAATAAATATTCTAAATTAAACACTAGTTTATGAATCAAGTTCATTTTAGGGTTCCTCCACCATCAAGTCTTCAGTTAAATCTTCTACAGGTACAATTTCACCATCTATTATAAAACAAGTAATAACAATAATTAGAGCAAAAAATTATATGGCCAAAAATATCATCACAACCATAAATAAGATGAAAATATTACCAATGGCTCCATAAAGCCAATCTCTAGTGCAAATTAAAGCCTCCACTCCATCTTGTGAGAGAGAACTTCTATATTAATTGGTCTAAAACTCTTCCCCCAACACTGAAAGCACTTTCAGAAGCAACACTAGAGATGGGCATGCCAAAGATATCTCTGGCCGTTGAAGCAACTTGTGAATACCTGAATTGATTACCCTTCCAATATGCTAATACATCTAATTTGAGCTTTGCATCAACCCTTGGCTCCTCTAGGTATAGCTCAAGTTGTGACTTTAGGGACCCAGTAACCTCATTAAAAGACATGAATTCCTAATAAAATTAATTAAACAAAAGAACCAAAACACAAATGAAGCTAAGTTAAAGTAAAACAAAAAATAAAGCAACAAATAAAATAGAAGGTGATATAACAAAAGATCAACCTACACTCAAGACATCATCAGCAAGAGTAAAATAAGAGTAAATGTTTCCACAAGACAGTTTTATTAGTGGACCCAACAAAACTCACATGATAGAACTTCCCGGATTCAAGTGTATGAGATTCCTAAGTAACATGGATATTAGATAATGTTTTAAAAAATTGTGTTTATTTGCCGTCCTTCTCCAGAGTAATGAAAAATTAAATTCAACAGCATTGAAAAGGAGTTTTTTTATTTAGAACAATGACATAATATCTTGTATAAGAAGCACATGAACATGGGTTAAGTTCACTCCTGAAACAGCAAACTAAGCCTTACCTCTAAGTGCACTCCAAGGGCCAAAAGAGGAGGGACAAATGGTGAGAGACTGGAAAGAGTTGAACAATTTGGATGCAAATCTTGGCAATGCCTACGCAATATTGTTTGTGGTTTTGGTTACATTTAGCATTATCTCAGCTATTATCTTTTCTTGTGCTGATGGTGTATCCAAAGAGAAGACTTCTGTAGCAGATCCAGAGCCTTATGGAGCAGGATGTGGTGCTGAATGTGGTGGTGGATGTGGTGGATGAGATCCTGCCCTCCCACTCTCAACTTCATACATAATAAATCTCCAAGAGGGATACCACACATTTCAAACTATAATGGATTTTTAGTCACTATTATAATGTTTTGTTTTTATATTTTTCTTAGCAGCTTATTCCTAAGGTCAATAAAGGCTAGGATTATATGCTAACTATTTTTCTTCTTTGCCTCTGTAAGCAGCAGAAAATACTTAGAAGATTCTCCTGATGGCATTTCTTTATGTCTATTACTCTGTTCTATTCTAAGAATGTTCTTCTTATGTTCCATTCTAATGCAACCCTGCCTTCTTAACAAATGACACACTACACGGTTTGAGTTTTGAATTTGAGTAACCAAGTAGCATGTGGTTTGCTAAACAAATCAACTATTACCGTTAGTCTAACGCACAAGCACAAATTAATATAATTTCTGAAGTTTAAGGTTTTCAAATATTTTACCAAATTGCCTTAGACTACTTGAGGACATTTGAAGAGAATATATATAGGCATACTATAACGTAGATCCCTGGTTCTCTACTTCTCTACCAATAAAATGGTCATCGTGAACTATCCATCCATACGAAACTTGAGATTGATATTACGGCCTACCTTTATACCGAAAATGGATTACTATAGAATGGTGGCAATTCATTACATGATCCGTGAACACGATACGAGATTTTTGTATTTGGATAGACCTGTATTTATCTTAATGTTGTATTAATCTTATTCCAAGTTATTTGTTTCGATACGATACGACACGACTTAATGTTAGTTAAAGCAATATTTAGTTCTATATAGGTTATTTTTTTGTGTTATGTCAATCTGCATAATAATTAAAAAAAATTTATGTTGATGGATTATTGTATTGTGTCATAAAATTTTATGTTGATGGATTATTGTATTGTGTCATCAGATGTCCAATCAACACTCATAATAAGAGAGATACTTTGAGATTTGCGGGCTCATATCATAGTAAAAGTCTTGAGACAAACTTTATCAGTGTCTTGTTCAAGATGATTGTATTCATATCACACGCGACCTCAATCCGACATGAGCGTAGGCTGTTACACGAATTTTCATCCCCATAGCCATGTTACGCTTGAGAATCCAATTATAAGTTGGCCATGGCCGAAGATGAAAAAAGGTTCACTGTACTAAGCATCATTGCCCATAAAAACGCCCAGTTTTTCCTTTGGTTTGTTTCTTTTCAATCACAATCTACACTCCAAGACAGTGATCAACGTTCACATGATGCACGCCTTTTAATGGGAAACACTAACCATAACATTTTACACATACAAACAATTATCTTGTATCACATCAATTTTATTTTCATAATCCACGTACAATCTAATGATTTTATATATTTTCTCTTGAGTTTGCATTTGTCATTTAACATGACACAACAAACTTTTCTACATACACAACATTATGTGGGGCCTACACATTTTGAAGAAAAAAAAAATTACGGCACGCAAAACGAATCTCTATAACATTATACAATCATTTTTCCTACAACATAACTCTTATAAAATCCATTTTCTCTTTTTATTTCCTCATAATTGTTCATATAGTACATTCCCGTTTAATGAAAATGCAAAGACAACTTCATCTTTTTATAGTGCTAATATGACTTGTGTAGAGAACCAAGAAGAGATTGATCATATTTATGAACCAAAGTCTCATCCTACATCTTGGGTGGATAAAAAAAGTCCCACTTTGGTATTTGTCAAAACACACAGGGTTGTCACATTTGGGCAGGGTAATTTTGGACCCGGTAGCATTAGGTTTTAGTATGGTTATGTCAGCATTTTTTCAGCCTTATCCAACTCAATGTTTGCTGATAGGGTGGGCCAACCCATTGGCCTGCCATTTTTATTTTAAAATGAAATAAATTTAATCATAACTTACAAAAAAAATCAATAGAAGAATTAAAGAGATTTAAGCATCTTGGGTTGAGTCAATAACAAATAAATTAAGGAGTTAATCCATTGGCTAATTGGGTTTCAATTTTTCTAATAAAAATATAATGATATCCTCTTAGGTTTAGTTTTGATAGGCCAGCATTTTGTCAGCCTCATCGTACACAATGTCAAGTGCATGTTGGGTGGACCAACCCATTGGCCTGCCATATTTTTTTATGAAATTTAATAAATTTAATCTTAATTTTTATAAAAAATAATAAGAATTAAGAAATTTAAGAATCTTGGATTTGGTCAATGACAAATACATTAATGAGTTAATCTATTTGCTAATTGGGTTTCAATTTTTCTAATAAAAAAAATAATGATATTCTATTTGGTGATAGCTTATAAAATAAAAAATAAATTAAATGTAAAGCTATATCAAGTAAAACCAAAAGGTAAAACAAAATAAAAATTCAGATTTAGAATTTGTTAGCCCAAAGTGGATAAAATTATTCCAACTTAACTAGTAGTACCAAGTTTGAGTATCTGGAAATTTAATTGTGTTAAAATTTGACAGGGAGAACCTTATTGTTCATGTGGTCCTATCTAGTTCAAATTAAACTAATTGAATGATCGATGAACAGATAAATAATATAAAAAAGTAATACGAATTAATTGTTAGCCTGACAAACATATTTCATCATGTTATTTAGATTGGCTCACATCAAGCTCATTCCATTTATGAACTCATGTCTCAAAAACAAAAGTCAAAAGGAAATAAAACCAAACAAGAGTGAAAGAAAGGAATCTCAATTTGCATAACTTTCCTAGAGAATAAAGTTTGGATTGAGGCAAGATAGCTTTGTCCCAGTTTCAGGTACTAAATCCGCAAGGAAAGAATCCCATTCTTGACAAATTAGTTATTTTAATAATTATGTCTAAAAAGTCTTAAATTCTTTCAAACTACTGAAAACTGAGTGTGTAGATCTATGATATGACAGTATCACCATACCTCAGATTTCTTCTTACAACTAAACAGAAGTAAAATCATTCAAATAGCCATACCTTGTAATCTGTATGTTTTGTCTTCAGAAACACTAGTATGCTTAATATTACCAGATGTGACATCTGAATCAATGTCAGAAAATGAAGAATACTCTGCAAACATCTTATTCTTTGATCCATAACAAGTCCATTCCCAGGCACACTTCAATGCTTGCTTACAGATTCTGCATGGTAGCTTGATGAAACAACAGACACAGACTAGTGGACAACACACACACAGTAAGCAACTACTGCAAAAGAATTCAATCAGTTTTTCTTTGCTTTTGGGACCTTGTTGCTGAGGAGGGATCAAAATAGAACAAGAGTAAGGCTTGGAATGCATTGCATCAATGCATTCATGCCTCTGCCTCCTCTTATCAAGAAATTTAACTCTTCCTTTGTCTTCAAGGGCCAGTTTGCTCCCCATTTCACTGAATCTGGGATGAATATAATATCAAATATATATGCTGAATGCTGCAGTTAAGATGATCAAACACTTGCAATCCTTTTGAAGGGTTGTGTGGACATTTGCATGAAAAGCTTCCTATGAAAGAATTTAAGCTTTCCTAGTGGCACATCTTTCTCCTTTCTTCTTTAAAATTTTAAGACCATGCGCAATGGTGCTTATTGAAAGTTACTAATCCAATACAAAAAGTATCCAATGTTTGTCGTTCCTTTCTATATGTTGGGACCAGAACTTTTTTGGTAGAATGCTTTTTCAATGCATTACCAGATAAAGTTGTATTCATACAAACTTGAATCCTGAGTTTAAACCACTTGTATAAGACACGTGTGAGTGAAGTAACAAGTCCAGGTCGAAAATTTTGAAGCGATTGAATGGTTTCTAGAACCTTGGAAAGGAGCAGAGTTATTTAATTTCTTTTGCATTGCTATCTAGTGTGAAATTTGCAAGTGCCATTCTGAAGACCATTTTATTTAGCGTAGGATAATGTAGATCACACAAGTAAAGCTGGAGAAAGGGATGCCTCAAATCGAAGCAAGGCATCTTCAATTCTGCATCGCTATTTTCACAGTATAGCATAACCCCAACTTCAGCTGTCCAATTCAAGTTTCTTTCTTTTCGTACATTTGAACTGGATTCTGGTCACCTCACCAATTCCCTTCTCTTTTTCCCTAAACCTTCTTTCAGCATATTAATTTATTTATTAAACAATCAATATGAGTTTATCCTCTCTTTTTTCAAATAATGATGACATTGTAAGCAAACTTATTAACAAAAAACAATATTTAGAATCTTGTAAAAATAATAATAATATTTGAATCCGGTTAATTGACCCTTCAAATATATACTTTTTTGGGGGGATACTGTATTTACTTTTTAAAGCTCCTTTTTAACAAAAACAAGGCTGCAAAGCTACGTGTACTTAAAACAGAACAAAAACAAAATTCTGCATTCTTTCCCCTTATACATTTAGCACTGGTATTCATCATGCAATTCAATTTACCTCTCACTAGTTATTGTAAGCTCATCTCTCCCTCAAATGATAACGTTTTCCATCCAATTCTAAGAGCCTACGAAGTTGGTATTTTGAAAGCCCAAGCTCCTTCATAGAAAGAGCCAGTTTCACAAACTTCAGATGCCAAGCATCACCCCCATGAACAAAGACTACCTGTTTTTTACACCAGAGAATTAGGCCTTCGACACATTGGCCATCTACGTCCTTTTTCAAGTCTGGCACAGAAGTACTCAAAATTCTTAAACTGTTTTCTGTAGGTTCAAGCTCCCCTCTACAAATGTCCCCAAGATCATTAAGTTTTTCTTCCCCCTTTTCTGTCTCATCTAATTTAGATATTACACCAAAGAAATCAGTAGATTAATAATCTCAATGTTATTCAAACTCCTAAAGTTCTTAAAAATTGGACTTGGGCTGGGAGACATATTTGAAGGCATCTAATCCAATTTCAGCTGTAAAGCATTGAGCATGAGAGACATAGCATTATATTTAAAAAAGAAAAAAATGGCTTCAAGGACTTATAACGATAAAACCGTTTTACCGTTTTCCTTATATGTAAGCGTACTAATATCCTAATGAATCGCCAAAATAATCAGACTAGATTGGTTTCACTACTTAACATGATTGTTGTAACATCCCCGTCTCGAGCCGGTTCAATTAACATACATATGATAAAACAGAAAACAGCGGAAGACTAAACTTACGAAAATATGAGCTAACTTTTTCTTTTTCTAACTTAATTCTTTCTCGGCGTAAACGAAAATCGGGCAGAGTTTCCTCTATAAATCGGACAACTGGGGATTTTCCAATCCCACTCAGAAGCATTTCCTGATAAACAGTTTATACAACATATCAATTCGGAAATACCAGATATCCAAATATAATCGAATACCCATACATGGGCGCATGCATAACATGGCTCCGTGCCGCTAAATCTAACAGCATGCCATCAAAACATAAACCTATCTGAATACTACATCATCATATAACGTTCCTGAATACTCAAATGTACATGCATCAAACTGACAGACATGTACAAAACATATACAGGCCATATACAAAATAAAGGATCAATATCATGATCCATCAAATGCGAAAATACTAAAATACATCAAACACTCCAAAAAGGTAGCAGCCTACAGCCACTCAAAATCCGGTCTGTCAACTGCCTCAGCCACGTGTCGTGTCCCTGCCTAGTGAGGACTCACCGGAAATCTGGGCACCTGAAAATGTGTCCCCAAGGAGGGATGAGATTACAAATCTCAATAAGCTCCAGGTTTATAGAGAATTCTCCATACCCCTGGCTCACTCCTGCATGAAAGTCAGATACAGAGTATACAAATACAACATATAACAGATATCATAACAGAACAGAGCATATATCCATATCATATCAGAGATGTGCGCCGTCATTCCCAAGGGAGGACCCCAAGCGGAAATCAACGCACGTGTTCCCGAGGGAGGACCCCAAAGCGGAACCAGACATATCAGAGGAGTACACCATCAGTCCCGAGGGAGGACCCCAAAGCGGACGTCCGGGTACTATACAATCAATGGCCAGAGATTGTTACAGAAATCAAATTACAGAAGTCACATCAGAGCAAAACATATCATGTTATCAAATAACTCTATATGAATGCATCTATACAAAGCATCTAAATCACAGTCATACAGTCCAACCATAGTTCACTAACCATGGTGGAGCACTCAAGCAGGAAAAGACTCCTTAAACATAGAGCTTACCTCTTGAAGCTTTACCAATACGCTTACTTGTGGAACAAGTTACTTTTATCGCTTCAAGAGATTTCCGATCCTTCTCAATCCCTAGGCACACCTAGAGAATAATTTACAATGCATCAATAAAATGATGCAATACCATAATTATTTCATAAGCATACATTTTATCGCTTATTTTCCTTTCTTTGCATTTTTGCCAATCCTATGCCAATACACAAGTCTAGACCTCTTTATAACCGTTGGTGTTCTTTAATTTAATCAACCATTCCCTTAGGAATTTTCAACATAAATCATGCTATTTTTCTTCAAAACTCATCACCTTTATACAATTTGTTACAACACATTTTATTTACAATAAAATGTACAAAATATGTCCCTAAATACCCTATAGGTCGAATCCTACAAGGGGAATTTCCAAAGATCCTTCTCTTTTACAATGCATTTTCGTTACTTCATTACAACTTGCAAACACCTAGGAATGCTTCCACTAAATTCCTATTTTGAGTTTAGACACCAAGTCCTTTTTACTTAGGCATTCTTACTAACTCATCCATTTTCACTCATTTCCAACACACTATACCTTCACAATACATAATATAATTTTTTCCACAATAACTCCTACTCACTCCATGATGGCCGAAACCTAGGAGGAATATGCAATAGGACTTTTAAATTTTTATATCACATGTGGATGCTTACTCAACACTATAACTTCCTAAACAACAATAATCCATCATAAATTTCACATTCTAACATCAATTATTTCCCAACAAAATATGCTCATCAATTTCATAACTTAAATCATCAAAATAATATCATGGAAATAGAGGTTTCTTACCTCTAAACACTTGTACAAAGCCTAGAGAGCAATCTCCAAGCCAAGCTCCATCCAAAAACTCACTTTTTCTCCTCCAATGAATAGTAACTCGAAAATGAGAGGAGGAATAACTCTTCACACACTCAACTATAGCTCAAATGGATAGGTGGAATGGATTCATTGAGTGGTTTCCAATCAATTTCATGTGGTGGGTCATTGGATTTGGTGGATGGATGATGAAGAAATCAAAGAAGGAAAATTTGAAACCCTAGCCCCTTCCCCTCCATGTGCAGCTCGGCCATGCAAGAGAGAGAAGAAGAAAATCTGAAATGAATAGTGTTTCATTTAAGTGACAAGGCTATATAGGCACATGTGGCCATTTTCATCGGATGTTTTTTTTTTATCGCGTATTTTAACTTAAATTGACCCGGAACTAACTCAAAGCTACAAACATATTTTTTATTTCCTAAAATCATTTACATTAATTTTTTTATTTCCTAAGGAACAATATTCATAATTCACAGTATGGTTTTTGCACCGTTTTTGACGAAATGCACTGTGCATCACTAATTGTACTTCCTTTACTTACGAAACTTAAAACTTATAAACTTATCATTTTCTTGGGCCTATATTGACTTGCTTGGCATATATTGGACTTTCTTATTCTTATTTCATCAATTATTTATTTCTGGACTCTACCGGTTGCTTTAACAGCAGTACAAAATACCCGGTAGAAACACTATTCACGAGATTTTCACGGAAAGTGCCAGACTATACAATTTTTCGTTCTGAACTCATATTTGTCATCAGAATTTTCAAATTATGTTCCTAAAATTATTTTGCTCATTTTAAGCTCTACCGGTTAATTCACAAAACTGTAAATTCTCCGGCAGAACGCACTGTTCATAACATAGTCATGATTACAGTCAAAATACTCGAAATCGCTCACTGAATCTAATTATGGCATTTAAATCCTTAAATTAAATCTCTAACTAAGATTTACCAGTTAGGGTCATTATAATTGTAGAAGTAGCATTGCCAACATAGAAGTAAATGCAGTGCCACTACCACAGGAGGAACAAGACCAAATAAGCCCTAGTATTATAGTTTTTATGATGTAATTTCTTCGTTGAGATTGAAGACAAAATTTCTAAACATAGATAAAATGTTGGCAGAAGGTAAACTGCTACAACCTTAGCATAAAAACAAATACAATATAGTCTGACAGCAGTATTCCAAGTCCTCTCTTGTTATCTGTTATACGAAACCAATCCAAGGTTGATTTGAAATCTTGACTGCCACTGGCAATTGCGAGTTCATTCATCTCTTAGTCTTTTCTTTATCGGCCCACTCCTTCCTTTAAAATCAAGATCAAAAACTTCTTTGTCTTCATAATCAATGTCACTCATTCCCTCCAAATCAGAATCCAACTCGTAGTCTTCATCATCGTCGTCGTCGTCGTCATCATCTTCTTCTTCTGACCCTGTACCCTTTCCTAAAATTTCCTTCATCAACTCCTTGTCAGCTTCTATAGGCTTGCCAGTTAAAGACCTCTGCAATATACCCTCAAACACCGAAGGTATTGCCTCCGCATCACCATCTTGAAGCTTTGCCACACGCCTCTTAAACTCTTTACCCCCAGAAAAAAAAAAAAAACAAAACAAAACAAAACAAAACCTTTAAGCATAGACCCTAGAATCAAAACTTTGAAACCAGTGTTTTAAAACCCATTCCGTTACAAATTACTATGCTATTTTGATCAATTCGGTTCAACCCCAAATTTAACAGAATGAACCATAATAATTAGTGGGGTCTTGTCAGCTCGACATTCGGTTATTAAAACATTGCTTCAAGCCGACAAACAACGACGTAAGTTGTAAACATTCACAGGAGCATTTTATCAAACACGTGAAGCGCAAAGCAATAAAATCGAAGTTAATAAAATTAACAAAGAGAAGTTTGAAAATCACAAGATGGGTTTACGAAGTTACCTTCGTTGCTAATATCCTCGACATCAACAGGGTCGTGTTTCTTCTGGGTATGCGTGAAAGGGGATGGATCATTGATAGAAGAAAAGAAGGTGGGTGCAAAGAGAGAGAGGGGTGAAGGAATGGAGTTTGGTCTGTGGTTAAAGGGAGAGTGGCGAAGACGGCGCGAGTAGAAAGAGAGGTTTCTGAGAAGGTTTGGATTCATGATTGGGTTACAAAGAGGTTCAGTTCCTCCTAGGTTGTCAGATCACGAAATCCACAACTTCTGTGTGTTAAAAACTGGTATGAGAGGTTTAAAAGAAAGAGAGAGGCAACAACTAAACCCTAGTACTTTCATTTTTTTATTTTTAATAAAAGTCTCTTATATTTTTATTATCATTGAATTAAAATTAAATTAACAGTTACAAATAATCTTAAGTAATAATTATTAATTTAATTTTAATGTAATAATTATAAGAGAAAAATAGTTGTAGATATAAATTTTCTCTTAAAAACTAATAATAAAAAAATGTTTCTCTTGTCACAAGAAATAAAAAATTATTCTTTTTTTTAAAGAATTAAAGACTTAAACCTCTCTCAAATGTGGTACTGGGAAGATTCGCACACATGCTCTCACCCCACCTGCTTAGCTCTCATGCACCAACTGAGCTACCACCCTTTGATAAAAAAATTATTCTTTATAATCTAAGGTTGTTACTTGTTTTAGGGTTTTCAATAAAAAATGTATGTTCTTTTGAAATTTTCAATTTTATTTTCTATTATAGAATTTACTAAAATATCTATATATTTTTCTCAAATTCGAAAATAAAGTCGTTTTAAATTAATCACATAATAAAAATACAGAAATTTAAGCTACACAGATAATTCACTATTTGAAAATGTGCACAAAACTTTTAGCTTTGAATTGGTTTTAACAGACCTCATAAATAAGAATATTTTCATACCGCTTTTTTTTAACAATTTCTATTTTATAATAATATATGATGATTTAAATAAATTATCTTTATTAAATAAATTTTTTTAACACTGAATTTATGTAATCTTTTTTAATTTTATTTTTAATTAATGATGTTTAATTTTTTATTTATTAAGAATATATTTAAACCTTTAATATTTTATATAATAAGGATATTTAAGAGCTAAGTGATATACATTATGATCGCATGAAATGCAAATCACAATAATTAAATGATATTTGTTTTTAAAGGGAGTTCGAAAAGAACCATTAATTACACTTGAAAGTAATGACAATGATATATCTATCAAGTACAATACATACTTAAAAAAAAAAAAACCATTTGACTACAACAACTATTCAAATTAATTTAAAGGGGAAGGATATTGTAACAACCAAGTTGTGTTACTACCAAGTTACTACCAATCAATCTCACCGTTAGATCGATTATGTTGATCCAACGGTTATATTTATTTCAATCTTTATATGGTTATGATTTTTCAAATTTAATATTTTATATTTATTTTCACCTTTGTATGGTTATGATTTTCCATTTTAATGCTTTCACTTTAAATATGAAAGATCATAACCATACAAAGATGAAAATAAATATAACCATTGGATTCACATAATCGATCTAACGGTGAGATTGATTGGTAGTAACATGGTAGTAACACAACTTGGTTATTACAATATTTTTCCCTTAATTTAAATAGTATATAGATTTTAGAAGATATTTCCTTTTTGTGAGGAGTTTGAACCCACATAAATCACTTCTGAAGAAAGTTAATATTTTAAGCAAAAAGTAATCTCACTTTTAAAGTGTGTAAGAAAACCAAATTTGTTTAAAATAAGGAGAGGTTATATTTATAATTTATTTTTTATTATAATATCTTACAATCATTTTTTATCGTTAGGTCTAAATTAATTGTTATAAAATAATATCAAGTGAAAGTTGGTGATTAGATTTTAATCTAACGATAAAAAAAAAATGTGAGAGAACTACAAAAAAAAGTTGTTTAGCCACATTTAAAAATGTGGCAAACAATGATAAACAATGTGGCTAAAATATTTTACTACATTTTGATAAAATGTAGCTAAACTTGGTGTTGCAATAATTTAGCCACATTCTTTTTTTAACTTAATCACATTTTGAATGAGTGTGGTAGCCTTTATTTAGCCACAATTATTGTTTATTTCGCCACTTTATAAATATGGCTAAACTATATAGTTAGCCACAATTGAAAAATGTGGCTAATTTTGTCTCAAAGCTTTTTTTAGCCACATTCATGACCATGGCTAAATATATGAAATTCATTTTTTTTAAATTAATAATATTACATATTTTATTAATCTTATAAATATTAAAAATTATACTTATATTATTTAGTATGTATTTTAAAAAATAACATGATACACCCTTTAATCATGCAAAATTGCCTTGAGGTATTATGTGTTCATAATTTGATGTGTAACTAACATTTTTCATATAATAGTGAAACACACAACATGTATGTATCAGGAAAAAAAACCACAACATGTGGCTTAATTGCCCTACACTGACAGATTTTTCAAGCATTTCAAATCTCATTATAAGTATCTCGTGGAGGGGCAAATGCCTTCCCCCAATTAGTTCAACACTTAAAGAATACCTCATTGTCTAATCCCAAAAAAGAAAATGTCCAAGCCAGTGAACTTATTGGGTAATTGATAGTGATTACCTAATTGTTCAAAATATCATTAATTTTACATGAATCATTCTCCTAAACAAAAAGTATAGCTCTTTGCAATTATCAATCTTGCAGGACCTGTTCTTCTATGCATCCTAGTCCTTTGAAGTGTTATCTACTCTATCACACCTGCACAAAAACCAAAAAGAATTAGCTTCATGATAAGAAAGAAAAGAAATAAAGCTTGCAGATGATTTAAAAAAAACAAATTTATCTGAGTTTCTAACCAATTATAACAAAGAGGGTAAAACATATTGATTGAAAGTAGCTAACTCACTTCCAAATTTATCTAGTAGAAATTTGTGAAGAGAAGTCAATTGCTTTTGAGTTTGCACAAGCTGCTCCTTGGTCTCTTCATATGCAATCTTGGTCTCTTGATATCCAACATTTATCTCTTCATATCCATCCAATTTTATTTCCAAAGATTGTACATGCTTCTTCAAGTCTTCAACACATTGTTGATTGGAACTACCAAAATTGATAAAACCAATAGAATGTCTTGGCATTCCAAAAACATTGGAAATCAAAATTTTCCTTCAAATATTATATGCATAAATCAATCTTTAATGGCAAGAGAGACAACAAATTAAATTAAATTGCTGAAAATTTAGATAATTACCTCAATATAATTCCATTGTTGGCGGTTATTGTCTTCTGGCATCCAATTCCATTTTTCAACTGATATTAGACAAAAAACTGCAGGCTGTAGTTCTTCACAAATCAGTATATCATCATATTAAAATATGTGTTATAGAATTTGATAGATAACATAGATGGTTCTAATTTCTAACTGAAGGAAAATTGAAAAATAAAATTCAATTTGGGCATGTCAATATAGGCCATGGTCCCCCCACTCTGTTGTTGCCAGACCTATTTTTTATGGTATGTTGTGTGCAGTTGTAAGTTTTTGCAAATTATAACAACACGCAATGAAAGAAAAAGGGAGAGAGAATGTTCACAATACAATTGAGTCGGGGTAAAATATTTAAACAAAGATGGAAAATGGAAAATCAGACCAAAAACCAAAAAATAGACTAATATATCCTTAAAGAGCAAGCAAAGCAGTGTATCACTCAAGGTAATATTGAAACATGTTATTAAACCCATTTATTATGGTAAATTTCTGGTTTGTCACTTACCTATATCAGATAAAAATAAACTATGCCAGTATTGTGAAATGCTTTAAATCTTGCTATCTTTGTAAACTAAAGTTGCAAGTTGCTTAACTACACATTTGGGGTATATATTTTAGTTACAGAGACTTTCATTTAACAAACACCCCATCCTACCAGTGGTTTTGTAGTTTTGCCAAGTGGTAGGAACAACTCAACGGAACATCACCGTGTAAAGAAAACTCACATCAAGCCGCGAAAAGAATGAAAGAAACTCACCGTGGACGGTGGAGCAAGGTGTGGCGCAGCCTTCAAGTTGAGACGCAGCACGTCACAGGGTTCGAAATCGAAGAGAAGAAAATAAAAATAGTGCGAGTACTCAGTGGCACGAGTAAATTTTCACTACGTATTATAAATATATGGACTTATCGTAACAGAAGAAACGAGAGAAAGAGGGAGTACCTGACTATGAGGGAGAGTTGAGTGAGCAAAATGACATCAATCTGCGTACAGAATGAACAAAAGAGGTTCAAATCTCATTATAATTTCAGAGCCCTAAAAACTGAAGTTCCACTATAATTTCAGAACCTTAAAATTGCATGAAAAACCAGATCTTAGACCGGCACTTCGAATCATAGAGATGAAACCTAAACCTGAAATTTTAAAAATAATTAAATAAAAATATATAATACTAAAAAATATTTAGAACATTCATATATCTATAAGGATCTGAAAGTAGAGTCACCTTAGCACTGAGAAATTCTACTTGCTTTGAGATATTATACCATGATTTGAAGCTTGGGATTAAGAAAGGATCCGAGTTCAAGCCTATTAAATTTTAAGCAGGAAAGAACAAAGATAGACTTTAGGGTTTATCCATAATAGAATAGACTAATAGAGTAGTGAATAGAAATGATAAATATTTTTTAGAAAACAAAGATAATAAAAAACTCAAAAATAGTGTTACTTCATTTTGAAAATAGTGCAAGGAAAAATAGATTTTAAGGGGGATGTATTGGATTAGGATTTTAAAAGACTTTTTTGAGCTAAAAAATCTTATAGATTTTAAAAGACTATTTAGAATTAGAGAGACTTTAAAGACTTTTTTTACAATTAAGATTTCATAAGATTGGATTTTAAAAGATTTTAATAGAATTTATAAGATTTGAAAGGATAATATGGATTTATAAGATTTTAAAAAACCATATGAATTTTTAACAAACATTCAAAATTACAAGAGTCAATACAAAAGGGAAATGTTATACTTACAACTTATTTTTGTTTACAACATTTTAAACCATATCTTAGCCGTTGATTTCTGTCAATCAACAGTTATCATTCATTACAATTTAAATATTAATTAATGAGTTTGATTTGCAAAAATTATAATCATTGATTGACGAAAATCAACGGTCAAGATATGGTTGTAAAAGGTTGTAAGTATAATCTTCCCCATAAAAAAAATAACAAAGAAATGCA